GGTGATATCAAGGTGGAGATTATTTCCATCAAAATTTTCTCCAAAGCCTCTGGTTTGTACTTCCAAATTTATATTTTGTATGAAGTCTGCAAGATTCATAGTAAAATTTGGAGCAATGTATATAAGGGATACAGATCGGTTAAGATCTACCTCTACTATCCCTATTACAGCTTGTGAGTTGTTATCCCTAAATCTTTGGTCGAAAAGAACTAGGAATGCTTTTGCACCAATAAAAGATCGGGTTAGGGTTCTAATCCCTATAGTGATTAGTCCTAAATGAACATATCTTCTATTGGTTCTGAGTAATTTTCTACCCGTTTGTTCAGAGATTAATCGGATAATCTCATGGTGTCCATCAGGAAGATGAAAATCATCTAACCGACGATACCTATAAAGACTGGTTCTGTCAGAACTAAGCCAATTAAGATTGTATAATTGTCTAGGATTTAAAGAATCTATCCTAGAATTTGTTCCAATTTCAACATTGGTTTGTATATCAATTATTTCTTCTAATTGTCTGGTGTTAGAATTTGTTCGCCTAAGAAATCTATCTAGGTTTAGCAAGAATGTATTTGTTTGTGTTGGGTTTGGAAGATGGATTTCCTGTGTTATTTCCTAGACTTAGTTTAGAAAGCTGGTTGGAGATCTTATCAAGTTCTCCGTTTATAGGTTTTGTTTTGATTAACACTAAGGCTTTATCAAGTTTGTCTTCTAACTCCTTAATCTTATTAAAGATAAGATTTTGAGTTTTTTGTATACTTTCGATATGTTCGAAAAGTATTTCAAGGTCTCTTTTTGTGGCCAGAACTTTATAGCTCTGATACCAGCAAAAACTGGTACCTGAGAAGAGAAATTTTGTTAACAATAAAACCAAAAACAAGTAAGAAGCACTGTGCCCCTTTTTTCTGATCCTAAAAAAGATATATGAGTCTTACAAATTTCCATTTTAGATTTAGAAATTATAAGACCGTATTTTTCAAACAAATGTAAAACTTGTTTTAGATGAAGAAAATGTTCTTCTTTTGTTTTTGAAAATACAAGCACATCATCTATGTATGCACATGTAAAATTTTTGTATTCTCCAAAAATATTATCCATTTTTCTTTGGAAAATTTGTGGAGCATTTTTCAGACCAAAAGGCATAACTTTCCATTCAAAAAGTCCTTCTGAACAGGAAAATGCGGTCCATTTTATAGAATCAGGATGCATTTTAACTTGGTGAAAGCCTGATTTTAAATCAAATTTAGAAAACCATTTAGCTTTCTGAATTCTGTTTATTAAGACATCTTTAGAAGGTATGGTATAAACCATCTATATGAGTATTATCATTAAGACGTTTATAATTATAAACCATTCTAGTTTTGCCTCTTTTTTGTTCAGAATGTTTGTTAACAATAAAAGCTGGGCTTCTATGTGGGCTTGTACTAGGCTCTATGACCTTTAAGTCAAGAAGGGCTTTTATATGTGTTTTACATTCTTCTTGTTCAAAATTCCCATAAGGGATCTCTTTTGTTTTAATTATCAAATCTGGGTTGATAATTTCTAGTTTACAAATAACCGGATCTTTTTCCCAATATTTAGTAGGATCTCCTATAATACTAGTTTTGTTAAGCCGATCAATTATTTTGTTGGATATTATCAAAAGTTATAACTTTATTAATTATAATGAAATTATAACAATCTATATCCATTTGTAGAAGGGATAATTCATAATAACTATTGATATCATTATTGTGATTATCAACTTCTGGAAAGTCAGATTCTAAATTTTTAAAATTTTGGGAACCATAAATATTTTTTGTCCAAAAATATCACAATTAGTAGATAACTAAATTGTAAAATTTTTTGTTTCTTGATTATTAATAATAAGATCACCAGTCATTGCTCTGGTTTTCGTTATTTTTTTACTTGCAAAAATATTGTGCTCAGGAACAATACTTTTACAAAAACAAGTAAATGTAGCTCCCGTATCAACAAGAGCCTGTATTACCTTTTCAGTTTTTTTATGTTTATCAGTTTTGGGAAAAATTATTTTAAGAATGCCGAAAGCCCGTTTCGGGCCGGTGGCGACACCTCTACGCACTTGTTCTTCGAGTGCTCTTTTGCTTTACACCTTTGGGACTAGCTCTCTAGACTAATGGATGTTACTCTAAACACTACAAACATACTGTATATTTTAAACAATTCATGGAGCAAATTTTCTAAATTGGTAATTTTATCAGCTATGACTTTCACCATTGATGAACTTTGGAATAATAGAAATCTGGTAAAATTTCATAATGGTTTTAATACACTAGAATATTTGAAAAACAAAATAATAGCACTTGTTAACTCTTGTAGCTCTCTTTCCCCTTTGTCTATGAATAATAACATAAAGGAACTTAAACTACTAAAAAGTTTTTTGTTGCCTTGCAAGGGTAGGAGAGTTGATCAGCTTGTAGAGGTACGATGGATCCCTCCTTCGCCATGTTGGATCAAGTGCAACACGGATGGAGCCTTCTCTACCTTCTCTTCTTCAGCAGCATGCGGGATCATTTTTAGAGACAGTAGAGCCAGCTTGGTTGGCTGCCTAGCCGAGTCAGTAGTGGCCAAATCAGCACTGGAAGCAGAAGTTTTGGCTATTATCCATGCAATTCAGATTGCTCGGAGTCATGGTTGGATATCGCTTTGGATAGAGACAGATTCACTACTAGTCATCAGAGCCTTCTCTTGCCCATCATTAGCTCCTTATAGTTTGTATGTTCAGTGGCTGAACATGTTATTCCATGTTAAGCAGATGAGATTACGTTTCTCTCACATCTTTAGAGAGGGAAATGGATGTGCTGATAGTATAGCTGGTTTTGGTCTTAGACACATTGGTTATCATTGGTGGTCTTTTGTTCCATCTTGTATCATGACTGCTTATTCTAGGGATCGTGGTGGTCTTCCCCATTTTAGAGTCTCTTAGGATAGGTTGTGACTGACATTTGTACTTGTATTTCTTTCTTCTTCTTTTTTTAGTTCGTTCCTGGAGTATCCACCGTCGATAGCAGTGACTAATCTCCTCGCTACGTTGGAGGCACCTCAAAGGGTGAGATAGTTGGCCCAAGATTTAACGCGGCTGTATACACAAGGCAGGATTCGAACCCCTGACCTTGCTTAAGCGTGGATCAACCCCTACCGCTGAACACATTGACTAATCATTTAGTGTATTTTTTATATATTGCAGATGATTGATGTGGATTGAGGTACTATCCTAGTTAGAATCACTCTTCCACATAGTGATGCCTTAACATATCTATCATTTTTCAAAAAAAAATAATCATAATGTTAAGTTATTTGGTTTGATATGAAGATATATCTTCTTTCTACCGGATTAGTCCCTAAAGAGATAATGTAGTATTTTCAATCATGACTTTGTGTTTAAAATCAAGTTCAAACTCTAATCATTATTAGTTAAAAATTAAAATATATATTAAACTATTTAAACCAATAATTTTTAGTTCAAAGTGTTATATGTTGAACTTTAATTAATCTCAACAGACGCCTAATTGACATATTAGATGCTCAATGTAAATAAATAAAAATTACAAAGTAAAAATTGAAATCTAGTTTATATGAATTAAGCCCGTACTAACTATCTAATTCCATTTATTATTATTATTATTATTATTATTATTTTCTTTCTAAAGTGTCAAACATGTTAATCATGTTTTTATTCAATGTCAAATTTATAATTTTATCAACTTCAATAATTCAACGATATAAAAAAAAATTGTGATGTCTAATTTAAATATATCATGAGCTTTTAAGTTGTAATTAAACCTTGTAAAAAGAAACTTTGATATTGGAACTTCTTACAAAATTAATATATAAAAAAAAAATCTGTAGCTCATCGCGTTAGACTAAACCATGTGAAGAGAAAATAACTTGATGAAGTGTAAGGTGGGTTCAAGAATAAAGTTACTAAAGATTAAATTTTAGATCCATTATCAAAATAAAATTATTATTAATTTTTATAAAATAAAAAGATTACATATATTTTAAAAGAAATATATGTTAATAAAAGACATAACATATAACTTTCTCATTTAAAATAAAATTCTCTTAAAACTTGCTTTTTAGACCCCTTATAGTTGGTTAGCCTACTTATCCGATTTATAATTGTTATGTATTATGACTTTATTTTATTATTTATTTTTGTTTTTCAGATTTCTCAAAATTTTAAGATACATTAAAATTTAAAATTTATCCAACTCAAACTAATTATATCCATTAAATTAGGTTATTCATAATTTTTTTTTGTTATTATCATAGATAAATTCATGCAGAGTTTCAAAAACCAACACAAACCAATCCATCTATATTTCATGAATTGAATCATAAATGAAGTCAAATCAAATTCATTGAGTAACAAGCAATGATGAAAAATGCATTTATCATTATAGTTTTCCGGTGGCTGGAGGACAAGTCGCCTCCACAGAAACGGTAGTAATCATACCACTTATCATTATCCCTCCTCACAAACACCAGTTTCCGGCCACATCACCATAACTAACGAGAAAATCCCCAGTACTTTTGCAACTTATTTTTCATATTTTTATTTCCATTTTTTTTATTAAAAAAAAAAAAAAAAAAAACATAACTACATCTTCCACAATTCTAATAAACAAAAAGTACATCTTCCTAAAACATTAAAAACATTTTCCTCCATAACATAACAACTGTACTTGCTTCCCATTTTTCCATCAAAAACCACTTCACTCCAACCCCAGAGAAGTAATTAGTTAAACACTTAAACCAATGAGACAGACACAGCAGGAGGAACGAAAGCAACAACTTTGTACAAACACGACACCGTTTTTCACCATCACTATTCTCTCACCACCCTATCCCTTTTCATAACAAAAAGACCAAATCTTGTGCCACTTTGGGACACAGCAAATGACCCGCATAGTCCAACACCAAACAGGACCCAAGAATAATTCTCATAAATAAATATAACATTCTAAGACGGAATCAAAACAGTAATTTTTTTTTCCTTTTCATTATGATGATGCCTTTTATCTTTACAAAACAAGCCAACCAAAACAAACCCAAAGCAAAGCACAAAACCGAAAAAAGTAGAATCGATTAAGAAGTCAGTAAGAGGGCAAGTAGCAGTAGTGTATCCAAAATGGAAGGGAGAAGAGACTCGGAAAAGACCATTTCCCCTTCCTCACTGATAATAATATTTAATAAAAACATTTTTTTTGTTTTTTTATTTATACTTAAAAAGTGGGTCCATTAATTAAATGACTAGAGCCAGAGGGCACCGGCTTCTTTGAGGAGAGGAACGAGCGTGCCGTTGATGTGGCAGGCCATGACTCGGTCCATGGTTCCGACAAGCTTGCCTCCGATGAAGACGACAGGGACAACAGAGGCGGAACCTAGGAGGCGCATGAGGGCGCGTTCGAGGTCCTTGCCTCTGGGATCCTCGTCCAACTCGTGCACGGTCGGGTTCACGCCCATGCCGCAGAACAGCCTCTTGATGGCGTGGCACATGCAGCACGTGCTCACGCTGAATATCACCACCGCGTTCTCCGACGCCAGCCTCTCTATGCGCTCCACCGGGTCACCCACCACCGTGCCCCGAGGCGGCCCCGCCACGTACCCACCCCACGACGCCGCTGCTTCGAAGTGCATTTTCCAATGATGAATACTACTAGAGAAACTAAGTTAGAATTAAAAGGTTTGGGTTGGGTTTGGTGGTGTGGGGAATGAGGGAGTGGAGGGTCATATTTATAGAGGTGTCAACACTTGCACTGCTGAACTGAACTGAATCCTGTTGCTGAGAAATTATTTATTTATTTATTTTAATGTGGGTGTGCTTTTTTTTTTTTCTTTTTTTTTTCTTGTGCTTTTTACCGGAATATAATATATGTAAAGTTGGTCTCACTCTCATCACTGGTCGTCACTTGTGCGATGTAAGAGAGAGAGAGAGAGAGAGGATTTTGTGTGATTAAGTGACTACTTATGATTAATGGAAATTTCTGATTATGTTCTTTGGAGTGTTGTAGTCAATTATGAGGTTTGTTTGCTTAAGGTGGAGTTGAGACAGGCAATTCTTCCAGGACTATGATTGTGTTAGGGGGAAAGGTTTTCTCAATAATTCTGTTTGTGTGAGAGTTAGGGAGACAAAATCAGTTTTTTTCTTTTTCTTGGCTAGACTAGATGTATCAAGGCTAAGGAGCTAAAAATGTAAGGCTGGAAGAAAGATAATATGATTAAGAGGGAAAATAAGTAAATATATATATATATATATATATATATATATATATATATATATTAT